ACTGTCCTATATTTTTGATAGAAGTGTTAGTTATGTGCTACAGATTTATCTATGTGTCACAATCCCACACCAATTTCCTTTAGAGAGTAAGAGGAAGTACGGGAAATACTGAGACTGAGTTTAGAGTCAAGTAAGAAAGACATGAAATTAAGAGCCGGTCATGAACATCTCAGGGGAAAACAAACCAAAAATTCCCTATTTGATTTGATGTCCATGCATACAATAAATTATGATTTAGTGTATGCTAGCATGTGGAAAAATAAATAGAACTGAGATAAAGATTTAAAATAGGCAGTAAGTTTATCCCAATACAGAAGCATTTAAAATGGCCAGCACCATCATTTTCTAGTTTAAATTGTTCTTGAATTTATGATATAGAATTTTAAATGTGTCCTAATTTTTTGATCCACAGAGCATATGGTTAAAAAGAAATCAGCAGAACCAAATGTTAAAATAACAGTTAGCCAGAAATATTCCACATTCATATTCAAAAGAAGTTCAAATACTGTTGTATATATACCAGACTGATTCTGAATAATTGAACTAAAAGGGAAAGTATGTCCATTTGGTGGGGCCATAAGATCAATGTTTTCCTTGTTCATAACCTTACTAGAATCTGTACAAATAAATGACAAAAAACAGATGAGCAATGGCCACTGTTTTGACTCACTTTTTTTTTAATTGCTGATACTGCTCATTCCTATGTAGTAAATCACTACAAAAGAAAGGTTACAAGCAAAGGATACTTAAAAGTTCATATTTTTCAAATACAGTCTTTTAAGTCTGTACACATTGCCTGCATTCCTAAAATACCATAACACCAAATATGCTTAACTCACAAATGTCAATGTATACCATGTGTAAATATAAAAGTAAAATTACTCATTATGCAAATAATTTTAATAGGTAGCAAAGGTTGCAAGTGCAATATTCTTTCATTTCCAAGTTGTTTTTCATAGTGTCTCATTTGTTCCTCTTAATAATCTATTTTCTAATTCTTGGAATGAGAGAGATTTAAACACTAAAGACAGAAAAGTATTGAAAAATCTTACAGCAGGAAACTGTGAACAAGCTTACATTACAAAGATTTAATTTTCTAAATCTTGCAAGCCATATATCTTAATGTAAAATCCCAGAAGAGTACTGTATTGTTATTTTCATATTGGAGAAATAACAGAAAGGTGTCCATAAACTCAGGTTTCTTTGAAGAAAAAAAGTGTTGAGTTTTATTAATCTATTTTCAAAATGAACTACTAGCTTATATTTTTATTTTCCA